TACAACACCACATGATTCACCTAGCCTTCATTGTTTTCCTATTTGTAACTCCCTCCTCAGACAGTGATAAACTTGGCTTTCATTATCCTTAATTTAGTTACTTATTTGCTATTTTCCCTTTTATGTTCCAAGCCCCTGATCTCCTTGACTGTGTCCTTACCTTTGGCCTTCATGGTCCATAGATCTCCTTAATACTGTTTCCTTAACACAAACTCTGCAGGTTCTGGCCACCTTTTGACTCTGGCTCCAACTCTCCAAGCCCCAGATTAGTGAAGGATTTTAAGCAGGGAAAGGCATGATCAGATTTATCTCTGAGAACAATCAGCCTGGTGGTAGGGTAGATTCGATGCATTAAAGGCAGTTAAGAAGTCACTGTAATAGTCTGAGCAAAGGCTTAAAATGGCCTAAATTAAAGCTGCAGCCATAAGAATAGAGAGCACACATTAAAAAAAATATTTAGTGGATAAAATCTACAGGACTGATCAATTCATCTAATGGGGGGATAAGCAAGAGAAGGGGCCTAATTTTTAACTTGTGAGGCAAGTGGGTAGAGGATGTCACTAAGCAAGACAGGGGAGTAAGGAGAAAAAGCGGATGTAAAGGGCAAAAGTGGGTAAATAGAAAATAATTGTTTCTTTTTGGCCATGCTGGATTTGAGATGTCCATGGACACTAGAAATATAGTAGCTAGTTGGACGGATGGCTTTGGGCATGTGCTTAGACACGATCTCAAAAGTGCTCTCTGCCCAGAAGTCCCAGGAAACAAGTGCCTTCCAAGGCCAAAGGACTCTTTATCATTTATCAGTGCCAAATTCTGAGATTCTGAAGTCCACTCTTTGTCCTCGAAGTGGGTTGGCTGAACTTTGCATATAGGAATTAAAACAAAAACAGGATGTCCAATGGGGACTTTGAGTTAAAATCTCAGAAGGAAGAGAGGAATAAAACCGGGACTCTGACATAATTTTGTAAAAATCTCCCATTTTGTCATTTTTTTATGCTTAAATAAGAGGGGTCTGCATGATTATCTTAAGAATAGTCAGAAAGATGGTCTTAGGAAGTTTATCTCACTGAACAGCTGGTTTTGTGGAAGGTGAGGAGGACCATGGAAGGAGAAGTTAATGGCAAGGCTAACTAATTATCACTTATGGGGTTCCTAAGCACTTCACAAAATCTATTCAATGCAATTATCATAAAACTCTATGGGTAGTTACACTGGCCGGTATTTTTCAGATATGGAAAATAAGGTTAAACAAGTTTCTCATGAGAACAGGACTAAGGAGAGAGTGTTGGAGGTAGAGGTTTCAACCCAGGTCTGCCTATCTTAATGCAACATTCTGTGTTCTTAATTGCCCCACAGCATCGCTTTCCTGAAGGTATGAGGACACAGCATCCTCCAGAACAGATAGCCGGCAAAAGCAGAGACTTTGCAGGCTTTTCCTGGTTGAGAAGAAGCCCGAGGGCCTTTTGGACTAGAATTATCAAAAATTCCTGTTCCTCTATTTGATTAGCTTAATCTGAACACAACCCATCAGGGGACAACAAACTGGAATTCCTCCAGATTTGATGGAGAAAGATTGCAAGAGATCTAAACATACTACAAGATAGAAGGGGATGCTGTAAGACTTACAACCCATAATACATGATGGTCTCAAACACAGAAAGAACTCTCATGTAGAAAAGTAATAGAATTTAGTGTTTTTCCTAAATTTAAGATTAATTCATGGCATAATATTATGTGAAAATGTAGAATAAAAATTTTTATCAATAACTGCAAATATGTAAACACTGAATATGCATGTGGATAAGGACCGAAGGTGATGTAGGAAAGACGGTGTCAGGGTTCAAAGCTGACGGCCAAGAAAGAATTCTCAAGACGTCTTTAGTGCAAAAAGGTGATTTTATTAAAACATGGGGACAGGACCAGTGGCCAGAAAGAGATACACCGGGGTCGTGAGGAGTGGTGCATTATATACTTTCCAGTGGGGAGTGGGTTAGGGATAGAAAAAGTCTCTAAGGAATTTTGGAAGCAAGGTTTCCAGGACCTTGAGAGGGCTAGTTATTGTTGGAACAAGGTCAATTATTACTATCTAATGAAACGTTAGTCATGAGACCTTTCAGATGTATATCAGTGGGCCATGTGCTTACGGATGATTGCCAACACGTATCTTGGGGGGTTTAGAGATAAAGGAAGTTTCCAAAGGAATTTTTAATATGTTAAAGTAGACTTACAAGATCCGAGTTGGGGGGGTTGTTCAGGCTAGGATTGCCTTTTGCCCTTAGCAAAGTATTAACATTGAGGCAGTTGAGTCCCTAGAGGAATGTCACTGCCTGTTTCAGGGACTTGTCAGTGGGCTCTGGGTAGTAAGGAAATTAGTAATTTTTCTTCTGCCTTTGTTTCCCACATCAAAGGTAACAAGGACAAATGAAGCATTGATGTGTTTAGGCAATGGCAGTGTGGCCAATTTGTCTTGGCTTTTTTTTTTAAAGTATTGTTCTGCAAAAAAGAAAATTTGACAAAAGCAAACACATACAGGAAAACATACAAATGCTGATAATCAGAGAAAAATGTTCAGCCTCATTATAATATAAAATAAAAAAACACGATACAATTTCCCATTTATCAAAATGACAAACATTAAAATAAATAATAGCCAGCACTAGTAAAGTCTCAGGAAATAATATGTCAGAATAGTTATGACCAGATTGTAAATTTATATACTTTTTAAAAAAAAAGATTTTATCTATTTATTTGAGAGAGAGTGAGAGAAAGTGTGCACAAGCAGGGTGAGTGTCAGGCAGAGAGAGAGGGAGAAGCAGCCTCCCGCTGAGCAGTGAGCCATGTGCGGCTCATCCCAGGACCCTGGGATCATGACCTAAGCCAAAGGTAGACACTTAACCGACTGTGCCACCCAGCCACCTCTTATATACACTTTTTAAAGGAAAGCTTGACAAATCATATTATAAGAAATAAATAGTGACAACCCTTTGATGTAGTAGTTCCACTTTTAAGAATATATCTTTCAGGCACCTGGGTGGCTCACTCAGTTAAGAATCCCACTCTTGGTCTCAGCTGGCCGTGGTCTGGGGTTGTGAGTTTGAGCCCCATGTTGTGCTCCATGCTAGGTGTAGAGCCTACTCAAAAAAAAAAAAAAAAAAAAAAAAAGCATATATCCTAAGTAAATAAGGATGTACACAAAGTTCTAGCTAAAAGGGTATTCACTGAGGGGCGCCTGGGTGGCTCAGTGGGTTAAGGCCTCTGCCTTCAGCTCGGGTCATGATCCCAGGGTCCTGGAATCCAGCCCCGCCTCAGGCTCTCTGCTCGGCAGGGAGCCTGCTTCCTTCTCTCTCTCTGCCTGCCTCTCTGCCTACCTGTGATCTCTGTCAAATAAATAAATAAAATCTTAAAAAAAAAAAAGGGTATTTCACTGAAGGCTTGCTTATAATATGTAACAATTAAAAATAACTTACATTCTTATTACTAGTGAATGTGGTTCAGTAAACTAAACATACAATAGAATATCATGCAGATGTTAAAATTATGTGGTATTATTTATTAAGTCAATAATTTAATGGTTTAATGATAATTAAATCAATAATAAATCATACTATATTTAATGACAAAAAAGGAAGTTCACGATGTAATAACCAAAGAAAGCAATTAACTAAAGATTCTTCATGGTTTTAAATTTTAAATTTTTTTTAACAAAAAAATATTTTTGTTAAAAAATATCATATATACCTATACACATATGTAGCATTTATATATATATATATATATGCATCTATACACACATATATTTAGTGGTTGATATCTTTTTGTTCAGGTCTTACTTTTTAAAGTGTATTTGGGGGCACCTGGGTGACTCAGTCCATTAAGTATCTGCCTTCCACTCAGGTCGTGATCCCAGGGTCCTGGGTTGAGTCCTGCATCCAGCTCCCTGCTCAGCAGAGAGCCTGCTTCTCTCCCTCTCCCTCTGTGCCCACCTCCCCACTCTCTCCTCTCAAATAAATAAAATCTTTTACAAAAATGTGTTTGATTTTATTATTATTTGTGCTGCTTACACAGCAAAACATATTAAAAATAAAAGTAACTGAGTTTTTCTCCTCTATTAAATGTTAAATTAAAAAAATATAGATTAGATAACACAAAGTTCACAATACTTAGTTGATGATCAATAAGTATTAGTCCCTCTCCGTTCCGTAGTGACACATATTCAAGCACAAGTTCGAAAATGGCAGATCTGGGATGTAGTTGAAGAGATCTGGGCAACAAGTTGCATCACAAGACCTCTAAATCTCCTTTCAACCCTGATGATTCAAAATTAATACAATTCTTCCCTACTCACCTTTTAAATAATCGACTGGGATAACACGAAATTGTTTTATTGAATATCTAGTAGTTGTAGTGTTACTATTACTAGCATTGTACATTGTGAATGGGGGTGTGTGTATGAAGAAAATCAGGCACGAAGGAGGGTTGATGCAAATCTCAGCCCATCTCCTCCTGACAGCTCTCTGGCTCCCCTTTTTGTGAATGACTGAATCGTGGTCCTTAGGCCTCAGAGCAGACACTATCCGTGAGAAACAGAACTTTAAAAAAGGAATTACTTTCCTTTTCCAAGAAGCTGCCGGGTGACCAACGCAGAGGAGCGGGGCGCCCTTTCCAACCTCCTGTGAGTGTGGGGGACATTCAAGACCCTGCGATCCACTAAGGCAGGACCAGAGCGCTGTCTCTCTAGATACACACGGCCCAAGACATGAGGGCCCCTCCCCGCCGGCAGCACCTGGCCTTCTCTGACCAGGGCCAGGAGGTCGCTCTCTCCCGGGACACACGTGAGACCACGCGGAGCCGGCGGAGGTCTCTGCCACGATCCCTCGCAGCCCCCACGTGCTCGCCTGGCGCCGGGAGGCGGGGGCCGCCGGCGGGGGCGGGGCGAACGCCGCGGGGCGGGGCGCCAGTTGCGCGCGCGGGGCAGGGGCGGGGCGCGCAGCGTGGTCTGGGCCGGCCCGGCGCTCCTCCTGCTTCCGCGCCCAGGCCCTGCGGGCCGAGCTCCTCCCCTGGCTCGGCCTCTGTCCCCTCCTCTGCCCTTTCTCCTCCTCCTCCTCCTCTTCCTCGGTGAGGCGCTCCTCGAGCAGCCAGGCAGCATGGCGGCCGTGGAGACGCGCGTGTGCGAGACGGACGGCTGCAGCAGCGAGGCCAAGCTCCAGTGTCCCACCTGCATCAAGCTGGGCATCCAGGGCTCGTACTTCTGCTCCCAGGTAGACGCCTGCTCCCCCTTGGCGCCGCTGCGGCCGGCGGACTTCCTCCGCTCTCCGTCTGCCCTCGCGGCCGGTCGGGACGCGCTCCTCCTCTTCCACCCACCCGGGCGCGCCGGCCGCGCTCTCTCCTCCACCAGCCACTGTCGCCGCCGCCCCCTCCCGCCTCCGGGGATCTTGGGCCCCTCCGACGCGGGCGCGGTCTTCCAGCGGCCATGTGGGCTGGGGGCGGAAGCGGACTTGACCCGGGCAGCCCGGCGGTTCTAGGTGAGGGGCGGCTTCCCGAAGCGCATCCTCTGCCCTTGCTGGGACTGTCAGGTGTGCGGGCTACCCGAGACAGGTGGGGACGCCCCGGGGAGGGGGCAGCCTCAGCCGTGCGTATCCCCACAGCCGCAGTTCCCGGCAGCACTCTGGTCGTGGTCGCGGGGCGTCGCGGGGCCGGGTAGTCAGGCACTTTGGTCCCGGCGGGATTGGGGGTGGGAAGAGACCCGTTGGGGTTTTGAGGAGTGGGTTGCCCGGGGTCGCAGAAGACGAGGAACGCTAGCTCCAGCCCCACCTCTCTCCTTGTGTTTTACTACCGCGCTTTGACACTTCAGCAACTTTGGGCTTGGGGATGGATAGGGGTCTGTAATTCATTCGTTTGCTTTGGCATCCAAAATTATTAATTTAGCAAACCATAAGTTAGCGCTATGAGTCACCATTCTCATTTACAGAATTTGCCACTGAGTGAAAAAGTCAGTTCCATTAAGGGTTATGCTTTAAGGCATGGTGTATTTTAATAAGTTTTGTGCAGTGGAGCAAACCCAGCACTGAATGGGGTCCTGACTGAAACGTGTGCTAGTGTTTATGTTTACTGAAAAGCACTCGTGTTCCGGTTGCATTTGGACACTCAGAGTATCGGCAGGGCCGCAGTGGTATGGCTCTTAGTTCCAGTCCAGGTCTGTTGAAGAGGGAGACGCGTGAAAGTTCATGTATTAAATTAGCAGCGTCCTGTGGGGAGAAGAGCATGAACAAAGAGTCTGAAGGCCTGGTCAGGGCTCTGTCTTTGCCAAGTACTGTGCAATCTTGAACTAGCCAAGTTACCTAACCTTTCTGAGCTGCACTCCTACCACTGTGCAGAGGGGAAGATGATACTCTTACTTACATATTTCTCAAGGTTGTTCTGGAGCTCAAATTATCCAGTGAATGTGAAATGCTGGTAAGACGTGAAGCATTATTTTCTTCTTTTAAAGGCTGTTTGAACACTGCCATATGAAAAATATGAATGATTGGAATGAAAACAAATAAGAATAGTATGTACAGGTAATATGAATATTTTAAATATAAAGTATGTAAATATAAAGACATGTAAAATACAAGTAAATCCTTCAGGCCACACGACTTGTACATAAGCTATTCTAAGAGATCCTGGCTATGTTGTATAGGTCTTGTTTTTAGATAGGATATGATTCTTGACCTTGTTAGTATCATTTGGAAAAAGTTGCACATGAGAAGTGTTGCTCTTTCTAAAAATAGCATTGGGACTACTCAGCATGCTAAACGTGGTATGAGTCTTTTTGTTTCTTTGAAATAATTTTCAAATTTTAATTTGTTGAAGGCTATGTGGGACCTGGATTTAAAACAAAAAACCCAATAATTTGCTTTTGGAAATTGTGTACCATGAGTGGAATAATGTGGTTTACCTTGAGTTTAAAATTAGGTTGCATTTTGTAATGCTGAATGAGTTAATACGTATAGACACCTACTTGTTGAGATTTTGACTGTGAAACCATACTCATCAGGCATAGATGATACTCTCTTAGGCATGGTATTATTCAGTAGAAAGAACATTGTCTCCTTAGGATTTGTGGAAAAATGCCAACATATTCATAAAAACATGACATAAGGCATCTCCTCGCCACTTCTGATCATCTTCAGTGGTCTGTCTTCTGTCTGCCTGCTTCTCTGGTCCCCTGCCTGGCTGTCTGGCCAGCTTATGTGGGAACAATCTGAGAACAAAACTATAAGAGGCCATAACAGAGGTAAGCCTTTCCCAGTTACTTACTCACAACACCTTGATTTCCTTTAGGATATTTTATACAATCAGTAGTTATCTCATTTATTTTCTTATTTAACTGTTTTTTAATCACAAGGTGAGGTTTGTGAACAAGCTATCTTGTTTACTGTCCTCTCATTTCTCAATACAATGCTATACATGCAGTAGGTGGGCATAGAATGTTTGCGTCAATGATAAATGCATCACAAAGCTGAATAAAGAGGTATATGCTACATTTGGATCATGACTCCATCATTTACTAGCTGCATGATTTTGGGCAAATAAATTTACTTCTCTGTTTGATGTTACATCCAGTGGGCCCATGGATAGTACAGGATTTGGGTGTAAATACTAAGTGTATGTAAAACACTTCACACATTAGTAAATTTAATCAATGTTAGGTCTTCTTGTTTAAACATTTTTAAAAAACATTTATTTATTAGAGAGATACACATTTGCAGGGGGAGGGGTGTTGGGGGACAGGGAGAGAATCTCAAGCAGACCCCTCCCCCCTCAACTGAGGGGGGAACCCATTGCCCAGCCCAGTCTCAGGACCCTGAAATCATCACCAGAGCCAAAATCAAGAGTTGGATGCCCAACCGACTGAGCCACCCAGGCACCTGTCAATGTTAAGGTCTTTGTAGTATTATGCTGTGTTTTATGCTTAAGGTACAAAAATATTTTTATCTAAGATTCCTTAATTTATTTTTTTTGAGTTGGTTTTTTTTTTTTTTTTTTTTTAATCTCTGCATCTAATGTGGGGCTTGAACTCACAACCCTGAGATCAGGAGTCACATGCTTTTCTGACTTAGCCAGGTAGGTGCCCCTAAGATGTTTAATTTTAAGAAAAGTTTTGGCTCTCTATATGAATAAAATCCCTTTTACTTGAAAATTGAGCTTTTCTGATGTTTGATGGCATTTCCTTATAGAAGTGTTCATTGTTATTTAATAGTAGTTTACTAATTTTAATAGTAGTGTAATAGTTTATGCCTAGTTCCTAGGAGTCTGTAAAAATATTTTGAGGGTGAAGGCTGTGCTTTACATATTTTCATTTTCTCTACCTTGTACACTGTAGGCATTCAGGTTTTTTTTTTCAGGAATTCAGTTTCTTAATGAAAAGAGGTCGTCATTGGGCCTGACAAGGAAAACAAAGAGCATTCAAGCCCTTAGTAAATAGCTCAGGGCAGATGCTACCTTGTCTGTAAAGGATCAACTGAGGACATGAGTGATTTGTAACCACTTATAAGATGTAAGAACTTTAAAGAGTATAGTATGAGTGGAAGGAGACTGGGTTTATAGTCTGACCTGAGTTAAATCTTTACTACCATGTCCTTGGCCAAGTTTTCTCTTAAGTTTGTAGTAGAGGGTTAATGGTGTATCCTCTTCATGGAATTGATGGGAAGGTGAATAAGAGAGCATGCAAAATACTTAGCACAGTGTTCAGTGAGTGGTTTTATTATGCATGTAGTTTCATGTCTAATACTATTACACCTAGTTATAAGGAAGGTTTTTTGTTTTGTTTTTTAAGATATTTTAAAATTTATTTGCCAGAGAGGGGGAGAGAGCGTGCGTGAGAGCGCACAAACAGGGGGAGCAGCAGGCAGAGTGAGAAGCAGCCTCCCCTCAGAGCAAGGAGCCAGATGTAGGACTCAATTTCAGGACCCTGGGATCATGACCTTAGCTGAAGGCAGATGCTTAATCAACTGAGCCACCCAGGTGTCCCAATTATAAGGAAGGCTTAAAAATGTTTAAGAAGTATCATTTGTTTATGAAAATTTTATTTTTGTTTTTTTAACTACAAAAACAAATTTTGTTTCTCCATAATAGCTTTTGAAAAATAAAATTTTAAAAGTTGTTATATTAGTAACACCCACGGAAATCAAACAACTAGAAAAAATGTAATAAAAGCAATGAAAGATCTCTACACTAGAAACATACATATCATTGCTGAGAGAAATTAAAAGCTAGGAATGGAGGTACATATAGGTATACATATAGAGGTATATGCACACACACACACACATACACACCTATTTTATTTTTTTTTAAAGATTTTTTATTTATTCATTTGACAGCGATCACAAGTAGGCAGAGAGGCAGGCAGAAAGTGAGAGGAGGAAGCAGGCTCCCTGCTGAGCAGAGAAGGCAGAGGCTTTAACCCACTGAGCCACCCAGGCACCCATATACACCTGTTTTATTGTGCTTGCTTTATTGGGCTTTACACCTACTGTGGTTTTTACAAATTGAAGATTTGTGACAATCCTGTGTCAAGTCTCTTAGCCCCATCTTCCTTCCTTCCTTCCTTTCTTTCTTTCTTTCTTTTCCATTTTTCTAATTGTCTCTGTCACATTTTAGTAATTCTCACAGTATTTAGAACTTTTTCATTTTTTCTTAAAGTTTTTAGTTTGAGAATAGTTGACACACAATGTTACATTAGTTTCAGGTGTACAACATAGTGATTCAGTATGTCTCTACCTCAGGCTGTGCTCACCACAAGTGTGCTACCGTCTGTCACTATACAACACTATTACAGTATCATTGACTATATGTCCTATGCTGTGCCTTTTATTCCTGTAACTTACTTGTTCTGAAACTGGAAGCCTCTATCTCCCACTCCCCTTCACTCATTTTGCCTCTCCCCCTACCTCCCCTACTCCTGCTTCCATCTGTTTATGAACATTTTGAACACATTCTTGGAGTAGATTCTTTCAAAGGAGCAGTAGCACGGTAAGGTGATTTGGGTCTCCAGGAAGAAAGTACGTAGCTGGGCATCTTGGGAGTTGGATTTGGAACTGAGGAAGGAATTGCCCTTCCAGCATGTAGCAACTTTGAAATGTCACTGTACCCTCTGAAACTCTTGTCCTTCCATAACAAAGTTCCTTCCTAATAATGCAGCATGTTTCTGGAACTCATCTTCATCACTGATGGAGATATTACCATATTATACTTTGTATTTATAAGGATTATC